GATGCATAATTAAATTTACTTACAAAACTTCGAAGGGTGACGGGAAAGTGGCACGAAAACGAAAAGCGTATAATTTGGGTAAACGGAAATCTTTGCAACAATTAGACAACACATTTTATGAAATTCATTAAAGAAGTGTAAACTTTCACGCTTATAATGAGAAATTTCCTTGTTTTGTGTTAGCCCAAATTTACATTGGGGTGCCATTCTATTAGTTATAACAACGACCAATCGTTCATATGTGTGCATGTTATTGCGAAAATACGTTTGTGGATAACTTTAGTAATCCGCTGTCTTAAGCGAAGGCATTCATACATCATATCATCAATGAATTCTCACAGGCTGTCGACATGCACAACATTATTACATATTACTACAGCTACTGTTGCTTATTGTGTAATATGAGAATTGTGTCAGTTAATGACATAGTTATATGCACATATATATGTATTAGTTTGGGGAAAAAGAAATCCACTATTTTTTCGGTAGATGGCTGCACTGATAGATTTCTCGTAAAGTATCGATCAAACAATTTCAGATTTATGCTCGTCGGAAAGGTGACATTTCGCAGTAAAAAAAAATTCTTTCGCTGTTTTTTGTTTGGTGCATTCAGTTGTAAGTTACAGCGTGTTAAAAATGGAAGTGAACAAAGAGAAAATTCTTTACATTTTTCAGTTTTTCTTTGACAAAGGCGAAAATGCAAGCCAGGCGGCTAAAATTGTGAATGGTGTTTATGGTTCCGATACTGTAACAGCCTATTATGTACAATTTTGGTTTCGTAGATTCCGTTCAGGAATTTTTGATGTTAAAGATGCATCTCGCACAGGTAGGCCGGTCGTCGAAAATGTCGATAAAATCGGAGAAATGATCGAAGTTGACCGGCATGTTAGCAGTCGTAACATCGCCCAGGAGCTAAAAATCGACCATAAAACAGTTTTAAACCATTTACACAAAGCTGGATTCAAAAAGAAGCTCGATGTTTGGGTGCCACACCAATTAACAGAAAAAAACATGATGGATCGAATTTCCATCTGCGAAGCCTTGGCCAAACGGAATGAGATAGACCCATTTCTTAAACGAATGGTGACTGGAGATGAGAAATGGATCACATACGATAACCCTGTGCGAAAACGATCGTGGTCAAAGAGCGGTGAAGGACCTCAAACGGTGGTCAAACCAGGACTAACGGCCAGGAAGGTTTTGCTATGTATTTGGTGGGACTGGAAGGGGATTATTTATTATGAGTTGCTTCCATATGGCCAAACGCTAAATTCTGATCTGTACAGTTAACAACTGGACCGTTTGAAGATAGCGATTGACCAGGAACGGCCAGAATTGGCTAACAGGAGAGGTGTCGTGTTCCACCAGGACAACGCTAGGCCACACACATCTACAGTGACTCGCCAGAAACTTCGGGAGCTTGGTTGGGAAGTATTCATGCATCCGCCATACAGTCCGGCCTTGGCACCAAGCGATTATCATCTTTTCCTTGCATTGCAAAATTTCTTTAATGATAAAAAATTGGAATCTAGGGAGGATTGTGAAAATCGACTACTAGAGTTTTTTGCAAATAGAGACCAGGACTTCTATGAGAGAGGCATTTTGACGTTACCTTTAAAATGGCAACAAATCATACAACAAAACGGTGCATATTTGACCCAAATCGGACAATCCGAAGCATGTTAAATAAAGTCCTGAAGTTCATATAAAAATAATGGATTTCTTTTTCCCCAAACTAATATATAAACATATATATTTTGTGTGTGTACACATATATATATAAATAAAAAAAATTTAAATCACTTTTTAAGTATTTAATGCAACATTAGGCTATTCTGAAGCAAAATAAACTGACTTTTTGTACACTCAAAGAAAAGAAGGGGTTGGGGAGAGCGTAAGCATATATCAGTTGAACAGATGATTTCGTTGTGAGAAACTCTTCGCCGCTCTTCATTAATGTTGAAAGGTTTATCAACCTTTTTCTTATCAACTCAGACTCTCTTTGCGGAAGCTACATGATGACGATCGTTTCAGCGGTGAAGTTGCGCCGAGATAAAGTTCGTTTTATAATCCATTTTACATACGTTTCCACCAGGGGTGTCCCCTATATGCAACGATAACCAGGAAGAAGTGAGAAAAGAAAAAGAAATGTCCCTGACTAGTGCTTGTGGGCTCAGGCGGTGAGTGCTGTGCCTTTTTCTACTGAGCACTCATTGCAGCTGCGAACAAGTACCGTCAAAACTTTGTGAGATTTATAGCCGCGAACACCGACTCTTGTCTACTTAGCTATATTCTTATCAACTCAGCTATGATTTTAACGATGACCTTGAATGGCAAGGAGCTAGATTGTATGGAATATTGAATGTTTTCGACGATTTTACAAAGTGTCTCAGAATGAAGCGATAATAAGCCTGCCAATTTAAATGTGCTTGGGAAGGCCAGGCAGTTTTAATAAGACGTTCGCTGGCGAGATAAAGTAAATCGTTTCTTATAATCAATCGGTTTATCATACCCAGCGAACTGTCGACCAAGATCATATCTTCTGTCACAATTTAATTTGTTTATTTATGATCGCATTTATTAATTTATTTTTTTATGATTAATATGTTTCTCTATAATGATTATCTTTTCGACTTAATTTGTATATGAAAGAACCGTAAACATTTTAGAATTTGAATTATGAAGTTTAATATATTAGTTAAGCGCATATTATCGAGATCGCCTTGCCTCTTCATCACACTGCACACGTTTGACAAATAGTCTACATGCCCTTGGCCTTCCAATAGTAAAGCAAATTTGCCAAATGAACCCTTAATTTTGAAAACCAAATAATTTCATTTTCCGAAAAGCAGTGTCAAGGCAGTACAAACCAATAAAATACTTTGACTTTCCATCTCAATTCATAATACATCTTCTTTAGCCTCAATATACGCGGCGTGCTTTACTTATGCACACACACAACCCAAATATTCACTCAAGGCTAATATAACTTTTTAAATTATTTTCGTTAATATTGATCCTTGTTGCAAACTAAATAGACATCCACTTTTCGAAAATATTGCATCAAAGTGGCCTTGCTTTTTCTTTTTACCATACGCTTACTACATAATTTCCATATCATTGCTCTCCTACAAATATAAAGTGTATAATATGCCAAATAAGCCGTTAATTGTAAAAGTAGTGCAAGTCATTTTGATGAATTTTTTTTTCTCATGTTTAATAACACAATGCTCCATAGAGTTTCTGAGGAAAGTGTATTTGGTTTTTATAACTATACATATTGGTTGTTATAAGTCAGGAATCAATCAAGATTTCTGCTAAATATAATTTTTTTGCCTTGAGTACTTCTTCAGATATTACTGTGAACTTTTGCACTACTTTGTTCTGTTTAATTTATAATCGCGGCAGAATAAGGAGTGGAATTTCTGACCGTCAGGTCTTTTTATGCGTTGGTAAGATAGCAAGAGGTTTCTTGAAGAACAACTTTTTTGAATGACAAATTTCCCATATTAGTTGGATTGACACTCAAAAATTGCAATCGGGAACCTCGCACACTATCTTCAAGAATATATTGCCCATCGTCTGGATTTTAGGAATTCTATATCTTTCCGCCGAATTTATAACTATCATGGGAAGAGGAATTATAAGGATACGGCTTCACGAACACAGCCCCTTAAGCATTATAGAGCACTTCAATTGAATTGATTATGAGTAAGAGAAAAAGAAGTGTAATAATAAAAATAAAAGCGAAACCTATCTTACGGAAAGGTCATATTTTCAACCCGAGGCCGAGTTGTCTCCTCCGGCCCATGAAGTCGATGGGAGATGCCGGTCAATTCAATACCAATTCATGCAGATTCTGCCATTAGAATATCATGCTATCTAAAGAATCACCCTATGGTGCTCCGAGCCAAATGACGTTGCCGGGTTCATAAGAATTCTAAACCTGCTTTACGAGTAGAATGGATTTTTTAGGACGTGATAGATAATAGTAGTCATCATTCTTAAAAAATAATTACTATACTGTAATATTAATATTAACGGTTCGAGGAGACGAGCGTTAGAACCGGTTACGCGGTAGCGGCGTTGAAGCCCACATATTGGCAACGTCGTAAACGTTAAATAATTAATATCTGTTCAAGCTTTTCGGCGTAAGTGGCTATCACCTAAGCGCTTAAACGAGAGGCTCCTAAAAATCGCCTCATAATATGATTGAATTGAATAATGCCGTTTATTTAGTTTAATACTATGTAGTAACAAGATTCTAATAAGAAATAAAAGCAATAAATATTCAATTATGTACGCATCTCTGGGTATGAATTTTCTAACCTCATTATCCTCATTACAGCGACATCCGCGATAGCATCAACGCTTGCATGACCCAATTTTTTGTTTTTTAACAAACGAACAAAATGCTTACACGTGTATGGATATTAGAGCTGCTGTAATGTATCGTTGTTGCTTAGACGCCAGTTTCCGGTGTTTGTCTAATCAATAATTTCGTCATTCTACTTTCTAAAAGTCCTTAAGAGTAAATACGATGTAAACCCTTTTTGTTATTGTTTTTAAAGTCATTTTAAAAATTGTCGTTTTTACAGGTTTTTCCTCTTGGCACTCGTACAAGAAATTTCACTTTTTTTTTTCCCCTCTCTTTCTTTTTCACATGACATCAGTGAGCGTCGTCGTCGTCACTAAGTCTATCAAAATAAGATTTACAAGTTTTGGCATCAATAAAATGTTATAATTTTGAAACTTTACTTATAAATAAGTAAGTGAATCAGAAAAAAGTAAAAGTTGAAGTGGTTTTCGAAACGTAATATGATAATTGAATTGAAACATAAACTAGATTTGTTTGACCTGCATAATAATAAACATAATCATAAATCTAGAGATTTTTTATTTCTTTTATTAAAACAGGCGGCATTACCTACCCGTCTGTTAGTAAACTAAAAAAAAAAAAATTTTGTTCTTTCTTACTTTATTAACATAGACTTGCTTACCTGACATTTTCGGCCCAACATCTTGAAAACAGCTTCATTTTCTTCGTGTGTTAATAGAGAGCTGGATTTGTTGTGTTTAGGCCGCATATGCGATGCAGCCTGATTTTCTTGGGATCGCATGTTTCGGCTCATTGAGCTCGTCGAAGTAAAACCAAACACTTAGGATCGCACACAATAAATCACCAGTGGTAAAACTACATTATATTGGCAAAAAAAAAAAAACACAATTTTCAGTTAAATTTTTTTTCTTTTGTTAATTTTTTGAAATTTTCTTTACTTATTGTAATTGTAGATAACTTTCATACGTTGGCTCACGTATGCGTACACTCACCGTGTTAGGTTATGAAGTACAAAATAGAGCTCGATGCTCTTGATCAAAACTAACGCTATATAATAATAATAATAACAAAAATGATAGCGAAACGCTAATCAATGAATAGATTGTGGCGAATTTTTATGGTTGTGTGTGCGAACGTTGTTATGTGAATGAACGTAAAAAAAACAATAACGTAACAGGCCTATAGCGAATGTTTATAAGATATGATGACGATGATGAAGGCAGCGAAAGAGCTTAGCGGGCCGTACTGTATATATTTTTTATACATTTAGAAAAGGCGATGATATAGGCTTTTCCCTTTTTTTTTTTCTTCTTTTTCTTTTTGCAATTGCCATAAAATTATGCTAGCAATAATAAAAGCAATGTCACCAAACATAAAACGGATGGATGGATGGATGGTGGTTATGCAGCAATTATTCACATTCGCACTCGCGTACACACACGCACACACGTACACAATTACGCAAATTTTATACACAGAAATCAAACACAGCCTTAAGTGGAAGTAATGGTAGTAGTAGTCGCGACGGCAGCAGCGGTAGCAGCATAGAGTTGAGTCACCAGCAATCAGTAGTTGGTCAATTAAAGCGATTTGTTTTTTTTTTTTGTATGTTAGTTATGTTGGATATTATAAATATTATATGACTGGAATCTTCGTCTACCTGAATGAAAATGACTGACGACCGACGACCGTCTATTTGCTTAAGTACTTTAAAATGCTATTAATATATAATATTTAAGTGGTGTCTTATTCTTGTTGTTGTGCCTTCTCCTATTGATATATATACAAGCACCTGTCCAAGGGGTTTCTTTTTGTTGCCTTTTTTGTCTTTTTTTTTTTGTTTTTCGCAGTAACATTCGCACATACGAACGTACATGCGTCTATATATATATATATATATATATATATGTATACGTAGACTCGCCTAATTGGTTGGGCAATAATTTCAAGGTAACAATTATGCTTTCATAAACTGAAACAATTTGTATTTTTAGTGAAAATAATTGATTTCTTTCATTTTCTCATTTTTTGTTTTAGCGAACGTAGTTCTCGTCTATTGCAAATTTTCCTATGTGTACGTAAAATTCTTTATTGTTTGTTTTTCTACTTAATTTTTCATCATAAATTTTGCTCTCTTTTCAAATTTTTTCTTCATCACAATTTTGTAATGTTTCATTTTGTTCGTCGTATGCTGATTGAACGTAATCGATTATTCATGTAAATTAAATAAATTCATTTTATTAAATTCTTTTTAGTAATACACTTTTATTTTCAACTATTTTCTTTAATACATTTCTTGCGACGAGCATATGAAACGACGTCAAACTAAAATCGACATTATCTCATCACTTGGCTGTCAGTTGTTGCAGGGTTGAAATTCTCTGTGCTTTCATGATAGAGTTGCCGCTGCTTGCACTGGTTGCGTTCAACTTTTATAAAGCAGTAACGTAAGTATTTTTCGATAAAGTTGCCAGAAATAAGTTTTTAAACCTTAGTAGTTCTTTTGCTGGATCGTTAAGTTTTAAATTAAATGCGATTGCATTTCGATAAAATTCGATTTTATTAATCAATGTTTTTTATTCACCTCAATTTAGAAGCATCTGATAGTAATTAAATGAGCGGGACTGAAATCCACCTGTCAGATTTGAATGTCACGTCTGTCAAATTTACTTCAACGTGTGTGCTTCAAAGGTTCGCATTCGTTTCATTTACAGACGGATGGATGGATGGTGGTGATGCAGCAATTATTCACATTCGCAATCGCGTACACACACACGCACACACGTACCAATTACGCAAATTCTATACACAGAAATCAAACACAGCCGTAAGTAGAAGTAATGATAGCAATAGTCGCGACGGCATAAGCTATTAAAGGACTTTCTAGCGGTCGTATATTTTACTTTTCATAGTTCACAGCTCCAATATCAGAGTGGTGGAAGGCTCTCAAATGAGCCAAGCGTGGTTATGCTGGAAAGCCACTTTACAAGCCACTTTTCGCATGCCGTTGCTTTGTTCGCTTTAATGGTCTCTTGAATTGCATTAAGTGTTTTGGTAAACCTCTTCAGCGATGTTATCCTTGGATTGAAGCAACTCTTAATACTCGATATCAATTTCGTTCACCTCAAATGGGAGCATCACGGATATTTGCTTTTGAAGTTGATGTTAATGATGGCTTGCTTGCCGTTCTTTATGCTTAGACTATTGTGAAGTGTCCTCTCGGTACAACTTAGCAACATTCCACTTTGCATTGAAAAAAAAACCTAATGCGACCTGCAAGTGAGATTTTTTTTTTTTAAGATCTAAAAAGCCGAATACAATAGATCGGTCCCGATTGTATATGTCAAGCGTCTACACATGAAATTGGATTTTGTATATAGAAAATATGTGTTTATTGTATGAAACTGATAAGAAATATTTTATTCGAAGTATTGCCTCTCGCTATCCATACTTTCTTTCCATCTGCCTGATAATCTTTAGATGCTACGCCAAAACAACTGTTGGTCTTTTCAGGTGAAAGGTATGAAAAGATATGAAAGGTGCGAAAATGATAAAAAAGTATTCTTTTCGCGTTTACGTTCTTTCCATCTGCAGATGCTACCGAACCAACTGTTATTCTTTTCAGGTAAAGTAGTCATCGAGGCATTTTCGCATGCTGTCGTAAGAAGCGATGTCCCGCTCAATAAGTTCGTGTCCCGTCGGGGCAAACAAGTGGTAATCGGAAGTCTCACCTTATTCAAATCACTCCCGCTTCTGATGGATGGACGGTTGCCATGTAAAAATGTAGCCTTGTAGCCTTTTTTGATATTTGTGATCAGCGAACGATTAATCGCTTTTGATAACTCATTGCTAACTGCAGAACTTCACCAAACACTGATTATCGTCTTCCTAGCAAAAACACTGTGTTTCGTTGTTAAGAAAAGTATTTTCGCTTTACGAAATGTGCCAATATTACAGCTGCTTATTGTTGTAACTTATATCTAACTAACATGGTGTTAGCGCCATTTATCGACGAATTACGGTTTTATATTTACATACCTAATATTATATACGTAGTTTCTGCAATATTGTTTTTGTTGTGTTCTATATAGAGAACTCAAACAAAAGAAAGCTTGCTAAAAACGCCATAGAATGCATACGTCCTTTATATGTAATATTACGACGATCTATGGGTGAATTCCGCTTTCATATTTACATAGCTGCTACTCTCGCTTACTTATTATAAATAGTGCTTTTTGACTTGGAAAGTCCGCAGTTTGAGTGGATATGAAAAGCTATTCGTTAGGCCGTCGCATAAAAATCGAATTTAGCGTAAGATCCCAATATTTAATATGTCATCAGTGTTATTAAATAACATGCATAACCAATCAGATTAGTCGTGAACAAAATTCCCTTTCTCGCTCATGAATGAAATCTACCGACTGCTTCAACTTTGTTCTAATTCGTCTAATATCATTAGAAACTGGACTTTAGCTTTTTTCTACTTCAGAGTTTACGTCTAATGATCTTCTCGACTATGCATCGTGTTGCAGAAAGCTTTCTTCAATCATATTCAAGCCGCTTTGTTTTGCGAACTTTTCATTGCTTGGTGATTTGAATAAATTATGTAACAATGGAAAGGTTGAATTTGCTATATTTATATGAACAATCATTCAGGTTATGCTCCCCATATAAATGTTTTCAGATGATGGTCAGAAAGTAGTTGAGCGGAGAGCGAAATGGTAAGTAATGAAATTCGGTCCTTACTGATCGATCATTTACTGCAACTATGATCATACACTAATCTTAATTAAAGTATGATTTGATGATAATGAGGATTGGAGTCATGCTTCCCATACGTATTTTAATGTGATGGTTGGAAAGAAGTGGGCAGGAGAGGGAAATAGGGGCCTATGACTCTATCGACCGATCATTTCATATAGCTATGATCACAGAGCAGTCTTAATTAAAGTATGGTCTACTGCACTGCGGTATTGACTTGACTGTCAGGTGCCTTAACTAGTTGGCTGTACCCTAAGCCTTGAATCATCTTTGACGTGCGTGCCACTACGTTTTTTTTTAATATTTTATATAAAGTTTCTCTTGCTTGGCAATTTCGAAAACTGACATAATGATGAGGTTGTGCTTGATATGCTTAATATTATTATTGTGTATTTTTTTGTAAGTTCCAACGGCCAAGTGATGCTCCCCATGCGTATTTTAAGGTGATGGCTGGAAGGAAGTGCCCAGGGGAGGGAAATAGGGACTTTACCATTATTACTTTACTTCACTATGCCTTTGATCATATAGCAATCGTAATAAAAGTATGGTCTATTGCACTGGAGTGGTGACTTGATTGTCGGGTTTGTTAATTACTTGATAGTTATGAGGTAGCCTTGAATCGTCTTTGTTGATATGGTCACGCCGCAGTATAATCTTGAAAAACTGATATAATGATTGGGTTTGGGTTGAGTTTAGCATTCTTTTCCTTTTCATTTTATTACTTTCAATATTTTCACTTTCTCGAAACACTTTTCAAATTGAACAGATTTCAATGATTATTAGTATTGTTTAGAATTCCAATTCCATTAATCAGTATTATTAGAGGATTAAAATGTTAGAAAACTTAATAGCATTTAAAAATTATTAAGTGAAACATGAGCATATAGTGTAAGTAAAAAACCTTTTCATTACTACTTAGTATTAAGTGTTCGCCAAGCAAATGCATAATGACTGCTTATACGCAGGTGCTTAATATTCATAGTGACTAAGTAACATGCATGACTACACAGTTGATTAGATATGAAAAACTAAAAAATTAATTTTCGTTTGCATACATATGCATAACGCTTAGTAAAAGCGGTACTGAAACCTGAAAGACATGAGGTGGTGTCGTTTTCATTTTACTGTTTTATTAGCGTAACGTTTTAACTTACACTTAAAGCCTAAAGGTGTAAATATTACATTGTGACAGGCAGCTTGCAGTCAAAACCAATACGAACAAAAAAAAAAAAAGAAAAAGCTAGACACACGCAATGTGTGTGGAAGTACAAAAAAAAAAAAAAAACAAAAAAAATTGATTTTAAAAACAAGTTTTGCAATTTTGTTACTTAAACTTGCCACTTGCTCTTTTGCTAGGCACGGGAGTTATATACGTACATACATGTAACGTAGTAGATAAATGTGTGTGCGCGTATCTAGATCGTTTTATTTATTTTGCTTTTTTTCTTTTTGTTACCGGTGTGTTAGTTATGCGTAAGGTGTGAATTAAAAGCACACAGTAAACTGCTTTTGTATTGCAACGTACGTATACGTATGTAGGTATAATGTGTGTAAGCCATTGTCAAGGTCATTTTGATAGACACACCTTTATTGTGTTCCAATAGTTGTTGTTGCAATAGCAATAGCTTTAAAAGAACGTACGCGGAACTATGCGTTATTAATGTATGTAACGGTTACGAATGCCACATACAAATCACATACAAAATGCATACATACATACATACATACGTACTTACATATGAATTCATTTGTTTATTGTTTTGTAAATTTTTAGTTTTTGTTTATTTTTTATTTTTGTTTCTTAATAGAAATCAATGATATTCGGGGTATCAATTGAATTCTGAACATCTGTCGTGCATTTTCACCTTATATGGAGTTTATTATTTATGTACT